CGGGCGGAGGCGCCCTTGGATCTGTCTAAGGTCTCCTGCCGTCGCCTCTCCTCCCAAGTGCTCTTCCAGCGCCGGAACGCTCCCGTTTGTCCCAAGGTAACTTATTTTCTGCTCAGATGGGGAGTTTTCTTCAATGCTGGAGTCAGTTCCCCGAGACAGTTTTCCTGCCGCTGTTGGGGGGTTTTGTCAGTCTGGCAGGTTCTGGGAACGCTGAGCTTCCTTACTCCTTTTCTGCTGTCTGTGCAGAATTGTGGCCTGGCAGGGCAGAGGCTTCTAGGGCAGCGAACTTGGAACTACAGAAATAGTTGTACTTTTTTTTTTCCCTAGATCTGCGGAACTGTAAAATCTCTAAGGTTGAAGTGCTATCCCCGTGGAAGTAATGCAGTTTGTTCTGATGCTAGCAGGGTACAAAACAACTTCCTGGCAGCTTTCATGTGTAAAGGTAGTTGTAGCGTCCATGTGGAAGGAATGAGAGGATGAAGCTCTTCATCTGAAGTATGAAACTGTGGATGCTCGTGGCTCCTGTACTTGCCTGTGATCTCCATGTCAAATTCAGCCAGCTGCACGCTTTGGAAGCCTTCAGCAAGGTGCCGAGCTTGCTGGTTTGTACACACACACTTAGTGCAACTGTTCTGAGTACTGGAGTGCTGCAGGCAGGCTCTGGCTGTCTGGCTGGGAGCGTGCAACAAGGAGGGAAGGGGTGGAAGAGCTTTCATCTTGCAGCTGTCTCTTCCATCTCCCCCTCGCCCCAGTAACTTCAGTGTTCTGCTACGTTACCAAGTGCTGTGAAGAGCTGAGCACTTGTACAGTAACAGTCTTCAGGAAAGTAAATGCATTTTCAGGGAACACATGCCAAGTCTAGTACTAGAAACAATTAATCATAAATTAACGTTATTATCTCACTACATAATTTGTTTTTATTTCTAACTCCGTTCCCAGTGCAAATCAGAATGCATCCTTCTTCATGCATACATCCAGATCTGCACCTTGACTGTCTCCTGGAGTTGATGAGAGGATGGGAGAACAAATAGGATGCCCTAAATACCTGATACACAGCTCACCTTCAAGCTTTCTTTTTTAACTCTGTTGATTTAAATTGAAGCTAAAATCATTATTGCGTTTCATCTCTTCTGGTACCTGTAAAAATTCAGCATGTATGCAGGTAGAATGAACTAACATCTTTGTGTCAGTTCTGGATGAAATAGCAGCTGTTTACTTCCTGTTTAACTTCTTTAAGGAACTCAAGCCATTTTAATCCTACAGAGCTTTGAATCTTGGCAATGGGTTTTGTTACTATTAAAAAAGAAGTTAATGAACATACTTAATTGAAATCGTTTAACTTTATATGGACTAGAGGTGATGTCTAAAAATGATCCAATTTTTAAAAAATGTTCCTTCCAGGAGTGGAACATGGTAAAATCTGAATTGTTTTGTGTTCACAGTGTAGTGCACGGTACACAGGAAGAGTTAAGACCATGGCAGCGTGCTGGAGAAGAATCCTGATAGTATTTGTGGCAGCTCAAGTACTACTGGTGGTAAATACCTTTGAGGAAGAGGAAGTACCTGAAGAATGGATTCTTCTTCATGTTGTCCAAGGTCAGATTGGAGCAGGAAACTACAGCTATTTGAGACTAAATCACGAGGGCAAGATAGTACTTCAGATGCAGAGTTTAAAAGGTGATGCAGACTTGTATGTATCCGATATGACTCTTCACCCCAGCTTTGACGAATACGAGTTACAATCTGTAACTTGCGGCCAAGATGTTGTCCACGTCCCCGCGCACTTCCGCCGCCCAGTGGGGATAGGGATTTATGGTCACCCCTCTCACCTGGAGAGCGAGTTTGAAATGAAAGTATACAACGATCGAACAGTTGTACAGTATCCATTTGGCGAGGCTTCTTACAACCCCAAGGAGATGGAGGCAAACCAGAAATACTCACAGTCTGCAGAAGATGAATCTCAGGATGAGGAATCTGTTTTCTGGACTATACTTTTTGGAATCTTGAAATTAATACTTGAAATTCTTTTTTAAATTGATAAACACTGGACTAAATCACACTTCAGCCTGTGACACTGAACACGAAGGACTTGCTGTAATATTTTAATACTCTTTGTTATGTTTCCTGAAGAGGCATTCAGGTTACTTTTCCTAAACTAGAAAGGAAGTGGGGGAAAAAGCCATATTTAATTTTATGTTGTAACACCTCCCCATCTGTAAAATAAGCAGCAAGCACAGTATTTGCAGTGTTCTTCTGAGATCAGGGCTTAAAAATGAATGTATGGTTGGGATCTTGTTAAATTCACTTTAAACAGGTGCTTAGGAAAATCAATTCAGAATTTTCTGTCATTCTTTTTATAAAGTTAGCACTGCACTTCAGTGCCCCCTCTCAATCTAGACCATACTGATAAATGAAATTACTCTTTTCTCTGAGCAAGTATCACCAGTAAAACTAATCAGCAATGGCTTTTGAGCATCTTCAAGTTGAGGAGCCTAGGGTGAAGGAAGGCAAAACCCATCAGTCACCTAAGGGGATAGATGATCTCTGTTTTGACTACTTGTGCTCTCCATCAAGTCAACCATCCATCAAGCAGAGGTCTGTCCAGTCACTCATCACCTCTGCAAATCCAGGACCCGAATCAAGTGCGTGTTACTTCTTCACTGCAGGGGAGAGTAAGCCTTCAGCTGTTGTCACTTGTCAATACGATGTTTTCATTTCTTGTTGAAAGCAACACAGTGTTTAGTGTCTTGAACTTGAGAGGTGTTTTCTTATACCTCCCCTTACAGCTTTCTGTGATATTTTTATTTTTAGTACATCTTTATGAATAAGTCATTAGCTTGCAAAGAAAATTTCTGCTGGAAGGAATTTGCATTACATTCTAAGAAGGTTAGGTCATGCCCACTCTTCCTTGAAAGTTAGCTTTTCCAGGAATATTTTTTGCTTTGGTTGTCTTTCAAAATAACCAGTTGCTATGCAAATAGTGTATATTTAAATTGCTCTGTAATTTTCTTTTCAGAGAGCTTACTGATGAGTGCACTGAAATAAACAAATATGTTACTATAATTTTATACAAATGGTGCATGTAAAATTTAAATTTCATTACTGAAAGCCTTCTCTCTTTGGTGGGGATTTGGCTTGTCTGTCTCTAGCTAGACATCTGACAGGACATGATCCCTGAGTTGTATCACAAAAAATCATTATATATATATATAGCCAAAATTAAAAGTTTATTTGGTAAAAAGAAAAAAAAAAGTGGCACTGTTCCTCTTAGAGTGATTGGTTAAATAACAACAAAATATTACTTTAATTTGTGCAGTTAAGTTTTGGACAGCAAGTTTTGGGGGTTTTTTAGCCCTCCTTGCTGTTTTTCCCCCCTCTTCCTCCTCTTCGGGGTACGGGAGGGTCTTTCTGACAACAATCACAAATCCAGCGACCTAAGAAAAGAAAGTTATCGATTATTGGGAAACTACCTTTGTTACTCATTTAGTTAACACACCTTTCTCCATTCTAAGAGGTGCTCAGCTGTTTGCAGTACCTCCTTTAATGTAAACAACCAGTGCTTTTCTTTAAAACATAAGCATCTTTTCTAAAAGGTACAGAAAGCAGCATATAAAATTCACCCTCCGTTGCAGGCTCATTCCATGTAACAAGGGGCTACACTCATCATCGTGGGCCTCAGGAAGTGGCAGCACTGCTAAGGAGATGGTTATTAGGAAAGAACTTGAAAAACTATCAGTTTGCAAGTTATTTTCACAGGAGTGACCACAATTCAAGGTTATGGGTACTTATGTTGAGCAGAAATGAGTGGCAGTTGGGAAATGTTGCTTTCCTGCCACAGGTACAAGGTCTCCATCCCCAAACCAGCGTCAGTTTATTTCAGTACAGCATGGATTAAACTGCCAGCAGGGGTTCATCACCAGAATCATTTACTGATGGCTGAGCAGAAGCATTTAACTGTTTATTTTATGACAGCTGGAATCACACAGCCTGCTTTGGTAACTTCATAGTTTTACAGGCATGTTCTCTGTTTTGTTTAGGTTCTTTCCTTAGGTGAGCCCGGAACCTGTCCTGAAGTGACAGCTGGTGCCAGTGCTTCCCAACACGGGAATGTATAGTGGAAGTTACAGGAAATACTGTCACTATAGCACTTGTAGCAACTGAATACTTGTCCATGAACTTACCAGGGATTTAGTATTAGGTGAAAAACACCAGTACTACCAGTTATTTTCTTTACATGGCCTGGAGTTGGCCAGGTGATACAAGCAACCAGGTAATTTAAAGGTACAGTCTGCCTGGCACCTAGGTACTTCACTTCCAGCTTTGATGTTTAAGAAAAAAAAGGGGGAAAAAGGGGTTTAAAAAAGTATTTAATAAATATTGAGCATACTTTTAGTTCAGGAACTGAAATAAGAGCACAAACACTCTATTAATGTGAAAGCTATACTCCAGTAATATGCAGCAATACAGCCTCTTTACAGATTTCTTTTATGAAAAGAGGTAATTGTTCTCAGTGTTCTGTGGATATGGAAAAAAAAACCCCACCTAGTTCTGAGCAAGTCAGTTCAGATTCTGTTGTAAAAGCCAATTCTATTTCTTGTACAGGAATTGCCAGGTTAAACTGTGTGCAACCAAATATACAGAAATAAAGCTTGGTAAAAAAAATGGACTCCTACAGTGTGAATGCTTTCCTAGACTGTTGCTTATTCCTACCCTTCACACTTTGTTTAAACTGTTCTTTCAAAAGCAATGCAGAGATTAATTCTGACAGAGAAAGCCCAGGACTCAGAGGAGGTGGGAAGGGAACAATTAATTTTAACTTTATTACCTGAAGGGATAGCGTCAAGCCCCACACAGAAAGTGTGATAACCACGGTCACAGACATCACAGAACATCATTTCTTCTTCGTGGTGAGGCTGCCCACATATAATGCATGTTTTACACTCCATACATTGCCAAGAATAAGTCTTAATCATAGCCACAAGCTCCGGGGTCATATCAAGGCAAGAAGGGTGGCCTAGATTAAAACCAATATTATTATTTTTCTGTCTGAAACAAAATGTCAAGTTAGTTAGACTGCTTTTACAGGCGCTGAAGCTTAGGTCACCTCCTGGTGAGATCCCACAGTGCACCGAGTGTTAAACATAACATTAAATAGAGACGGAATCTTAACGAAGGACAGAAAAGGCAACTGAACTGTTGGAACACGAGTGGAGTACACCAAGTATTTCCAAAAAAGATCTGTCAGACAAACTCCCTTAGGAATCCTGTTAGCGTACACAGTTACTTACCACTGTTGTCACACTGGGAGCAATGTATAAGAGCTTCAGCTTTTCCTTTCTTGTTGGACTCCTTACCCTTCAGACAAATTCCACATATAGCATTTGGAATGACCTTTGGCTGGAAGGGTAGAAGAGGGCTATAAATTCATTCCAGAAGAATTTACAGGTTTCAAAGGAAATGTCATATATCTCCTTAACTCTTAAAAATTAATGAACTATCTGCTACGATGTGCGAACCTTCAAACATATGATAGTAACTGACAAGCAGCAGCACTGAAAAAAAATGTAGATTAACTACATAAAATTTAGCATTTGGCACACAGAGTTATATGTAAATCAAACTGGAGCAAAAGCACGTACTAGCTTCTTCCTATGAATCCATCAGCTAAAATGCCCCTCAATATAAATTAAATGTGACATAGCATTACGAATTTCAGCAATTTGTTTTCAATATAGAATACTTCTTTCTGAATCTTCATGCGGATTTCTTCTTTATGACAGAAATTAAATACAACTTTCTATTTGCATTACATTTGGCCCTAAATATAGAAAATTAATTACAAAAGCAACCAACTTGATTCTTGTAGCTTTAATTTCAGAATACCTGGTTAGCTATGCTGTACACAGCTATCTGTTTTACCATTCTTTGTTGTATCCAGTCATAATCGCCGTTAGAAACACACACCCTTGCCTTTAACTAGTTTTACATTCATCGGCTTTCTAAGTGATCATCTGGAGAGTACTTGGGTCCATGAGATCCATTTAAAAGGTAAGAGACAACTAGCAGGCTGCTACAATGGGTAACAGCTGTGTATGTATTCTGTGTCCCAACCAACAAGAGTTTTATCCTGACAAGGAACAAGGAAGAAGTAAGGCATTATCAATTTCAGAAATATTGCAGTAGTTATATTGTTGGGCTTTGACTTCTGCATACTGAAATCACTGAGAAATGTGGTTTAAAATTGATAGAGTACTCACTGATGTTAAATCAACTAGTGCCAGAGCTTTTAAAAAAAAATGTTGCTGCAAAGATGCAGATACTAGAGGGAGTTCAAGGCACATCCTCTTTTCTAAGGAACTAAATGGCTTGCCAATAGGCAGCAACAGCCCCGATCAACTACCAACCACATGTGGAGAGAAGAATGGAGTTTAATTTTAAAATACATTTTAAAAAGTGAAAAGTATATATATACATATATATGAAATAAGGTTACTGTGATCTTTTGCAATACAACTTGTCTTGAAGTCTATTTCCCCGCCAGTTTCTTCTAGCACCTCACAGGATAATTAAGATCTTGAGCAATTTTTAAGTAGTCAGGATGCATTGCTTCAATTTTTTAAGTTTTCAATCTGCTTTTTATATTAAAACATGGCTACAGTCTGCTTCAAATTATCTTGTCTAAAAGTTTTACTTAAGAAAACAAAACACCATACCAGATGTTTATAGGTAACTTCCTTCAAAAGATGACAGAGGCATTCATACAGACTTTTTATGCTTATTTATTTTTTAAAAAAGCAGAGTCAACCTGTTTTATACATAAATATAATAAAACAATAAAAGAAGTCTAACATTCACAAATGTCTCTACAAAATAATAAATATAATTGAAGCAAAACCACACATAAACTGTTTTACTGGTAACTATTGTGTCCTACATGTATACTTTTATACCCTGCTCCTCTCAACAAAAGCGGCACATGCTTAAACCTCAACAGTGTTGCAGCATTTACCCTTCCGTTGTTTAGATTCTCATTTCTTTAGACATTCTAATTTTTTAAATTGTGTTTTTATCTAAGTAAACCAAACCTTTCTAGAATAGTGCGCTTTTCTAATCAGACTTCTGGTTTGTTATGGATTTGTATTTTACTGCCTTTCATGTCCAGCAGCATACTCCCTTGTACTCCAGCAAAACTAAAGTGAGCTACTTTTCAGTCACTGTACCTGCAGTAGGGTACGTGGTAATTAACACTCTGATACACATAATTCTAAAG